CAACGACCTAATAATAATAACAAAATACGTTAATGTCACTGTTATTGGTATTGATTATAATACACATGCTCTGTTATATCATGGTAATTGCAAAAATTGTCATATGAATTATTATCATAATTATTATTGTGATAATGTTCTTAAAATAAAATATGTACAAGATAAAATCATTGAGAAATCGCAATATTTACATTTTGGCGGTGAATTTGTATTTGACCGACAGGTGTTTGTTCTATTTACAGCAAATTTATTAAAGTCATATATGACATTCAATGGTTTCAGTGATGCATATGATTATATTTTGAAGGAATTACATTATTTAAATTACATGAAAAAATAAAACTTGATCCAAAGATTTATCAACATAATTGGTTTTTGTTTGAATTGTCAAGATTTGTATTCATGACTACTAATGAACATACATTTCAAATATCATCCGGTTATTCAACATCCGAACATGACCATTATTACAGGACAAATAATGAACATTTTTATGCTTTATTTGTTAAATTCTGGTGTAATCATAAACAATTCACAAACAAATGTCCGGTGAATTGCTCTACTGTTTTTTTAACTGACGGACACCAGAAGGCCAGTCGTAAAGTATGCAATTTTCAAAATGTGTGTGATATTACAGTTCTAGAACTGGGACCAGCCCCGAGACTCCTGTACGTGGTGGTAGCGGTATAAGTAAGTTATTTTTCCTTTGTGTTCGAGACTTGTGCTATTTGTGTTACTATGTTACATTTTCAGATGGACTTAGGTGTGCATTTCATCAGCTATCGTTATCACGACAGCACCTTCCAACAGAGCCGTACGATGCGTTATTACATAAAGATATAAAGAATGCTATTGATGTTAATGTACAAGATGAAAATTTACTGAATGAGAATGAAGAAAGATGCAACGTTTTCCGAGATGATGAAGAAAAAATATACAAAACTCGATCATTTGGTTTTCTTGCCACATTCCTCAACTGTGGTATAATTTGTGGTTTTGATGAGAGCCCGAGGGCGGAGGGTATGCGCCGTATTGCCCGTCATTTGTTGCGTATTTTGAAAGCAGGTGGAAAATTACCGCCAGCCATGCTCTATGACTGTGCATGCATGTTTCGTCTATTTATCGATAAACAGTATGGAGGTGAATATTTTAAGAAGTCTGAACATACGGATTTTTTGAAAAATATGCACTTAGCGATAGATCGCTTTCATGTGAAAAATCACAAAAGATATATGTGCCAGACAGTTATGCATCCCGATAATGAGATACATCAAGATGCGTTTAAAGATATCGGTATGTTAAGATTTTATAAATTATTGAGTATAAAACTGCCACGAAGAACATGATAGATTTAAGCAAAAATCATAATTTTATTCGAGCTTTCGATAAGAATCTCTTATCATCATATCGAAAGCTCGAATAAAATTATGATTTTTGCTTAAATCTATCATGTTCTTCGTGGCAGTTTTATACTCAATGTTAAGATTTTCTTTTTTTCTTTTCTGTGTTTAAAATGAATTTATTTTGTATTGCCATTCATTTCCTTTAGATTCTCAAGTGTGTGAAAGGAGTTTTTCTTCTTTAACCCATTACAAGAACACATTCCAAGCCTTCAATTATCCAAAATCAGTCTGTTTTGATCTGCTTATTTTTCATTTAAAAAACTGTGAAACTATCGGAATATCCCCAAACAAACAACATATTGGACAATACACATTATCATGATTTAGATCGATATCCTCTCGCGTTAACTGTTATTAGTTTTCTCATCTTCCATTATTTGTTTCTGTTCACTTTATACTGATCCCGTTAACGGTGACCACTACCTATTTTTTGTTCGTATATTAGGAATTCTAATAAATGATTCAAATTCGACCAAATAAGCAACAAAACTAGTTATAAACAATGCAAAACATTTGCCAAATTTGCTGCTTCCACTATCTTACCTAACCACCAATTCAACACCTACAACATGTGTGGAACAGTTTCACACTTGAAGAACGGATAACTTAACGGAAAAACCTAAGGGAAAGACAGAGCGAAGCTGGCTGTAATTCTAGAATAAAGCAAATCTCGTCCGGGAAGAAAAATCAAAAGAAAACCAAGCATGCTCTTCGCGTTTCACAGTTGCTCAACAAAAGTACTTCGCAGTATTACGATGTACTAAGTGGTACTAGGTAGTACCGAGTTATTGAGTAGTACTGGGTAGTACTGAGTAGTACCGGGTAGTACTGACTCGTTAGTTTTTGAGAGCGATTAAAATAAGCTTTTCACAGAATTGCTCGACCTGTTTGTAGTGTCGGCCATTTCTCAGTTTCACAGTTTGGTGCTGTCACCGATTCTTCCGCGAACAGTTGAAAATAAAAGTTAAGAGACTTCTCAAGTTCTCCTTATGTTTGAACACTAATAAAACAGTACATACGGTGTTTTGTGCGAACTAACTTCAGTTCAATTTGAATTATTGTTTCTAGTTTCATACTACATCATGCAAGTACTTTTAGTACGCAACTACTTTTTGAACTCACTCTCACGCTCCATGCATATGAGAAAAGTCGTCATAGTCTGAGAATTCGGAAAGAGACGAGCTCAGTCTCTTTTGAGAAGAAAAAAGTGAAAAGATTCATGGAAAAAATAAAACTCTTGTATTTGATAGCATTATGTGTTGTTTTTTTGCGACAAAAATGATTCAGCAAAAATGTATCTTCTTTAAGTCCCGAGCTCGCTCATATTAATGGGATCCCAGGAAAAAACTTTTTATTCTACAAGCTATCTTAATAAAACTTACATATGTTAACGCTTACTATCTATTTAGCTTATGCTAAGAATTTTAGTTCAACAGATTGAAGCTTTATCGAGTTATCATTGTTATAAGCAGCAATAGGAGACTCTCATCAAAATGTTTTTCGAGTGTCGTAGGGAAGGCCGGGGCTCGCGTTAAAATATTAATAAATCGTCAAATACTTTCTTATTTTCATTTTCTCACTCTATTTTTCATTTATTTCACAAATAAATGACATTTATAGCGTTCAGATAGGATTACAAATGATCGTGCCATCTCACTGAATATAAACAACAACAAATGAGTGAATCAGGCTTTACCAAATTCTTTCTAAATTAATCTGATAACATAGAATCAACTTACGTTAGTCGAGACACGGATTTGCCATCGTATTTACGCTCAACCATATAAGAAAAAATGTGCGTTTGTAGAAGAGGGCAAGAAAAATTGATATCATTAAGTTACCGAAAATTTCAACACACGCACATGTTCACGTGAACTGTCTATCTTTTCTCTAAGCTTTTCTTATGAAGATAATAAATTTTATACTCTTTTAAACAGAAAAGAAGAGAATTTAGAATTCTTTTTCCTTCACTTACGCGTTTTTCTTTCCGCTAATTACAAGCAGACGACCGTATCTAAAATAATATGTTGCATATCTATCACCATGGAACTGATTCAAAGCAAAAGAAGAACAGATACTACCGCTTATCCAAATGGAACATGGATGGAAAATGGACTATTTCGTTTCATGTAGGTTTTCACCAGCTTTGTTTTAAAGGTTTCTCGAAAAACAAACATTGCTAAGAGATTCACTGTGATTCTATGTTCCATGTGTTTTGGAATTTTGCTGTTGTTTAATTTTACCTAACTGTAAAAATCCTGGACACACTTTTTCTCGATAACATCGCCTACGGTAAAAGTTTTTGGCATTGACTATTTTACCAATTCTTCATGATCAGAAATTTGCAATCAAATCACTACAACTCGCCATTCAGTTGATGATTTTGAATGCAGATTTAAAACAGAATGTTGTCAATCAAATTATTGTAATATTTATACTAATAAAACACAAAGTAAAATATCAAACAGTTTAAGGCCTTAAAATGAACTTTAGTTGTTTGCTGCACCAGTAAAAAGCAGCGGAAGTTTTGAATGAGATTTATTCTAATCTCGTAGACGAGGTAACATTTTATAGCGAACTCTGAAGCTATAAAGGAAAATTTTCAATTTTTCATCCATTTTGATGTGCTTCTCTTGTAATTACAGTACAAAAAAGTTTTATTTCTTTTTCATTCTGATTTAATACTTCAGCATCGTTAATTTTTATATTGTTTATACAATGTCTTATGAACCGATTGTATTTTTTTTTACGAAACATAGAAAAAGAAGCCAATAAAAGTGAATAATAGAAAAAATAGTAATGTTTGTGGCTATTATTATTTTTCATATATATGGAATCATGAAGATATGTATACCACGAGTTTCTTTATATAACAGTGTGAGCAATTGAAGGTATTTTTTACTCAGGTAAAATAATGCATGGAGTAATCATTGACGGCGCATTTCTCAGTTACTGTCGAATCATAATAAAGGAAAACGGTGAGACCCTCACTCTGCAAAAAAAGACTTGGAATAAATGATTTCTGATGGGACCAAATTGAGCTCAAATTCTTTCAGATTGGTTCAGCAGTCAGAAATTGTAACTGGTTTCGGTCTTTGATTTAGTTCATAGGGAAATTTTGATCTCAGTCTGTAAGTTGGACTGTAAGATACATGCGATCAGAGAATTCAGTAAAGCAATGAAATATTACAACAAATTACTTTAGGTAATTTACTGATTAATTAATAAGTATTTACCATCGTATATCATAATTCTGATAAAATCATTATTGAAATTATTTTAATATGTATATTTGTATATATGTTATATGCACAAATGCGTGAACTAAGTACAGGTAATAATTTAGTTCATATCCAGTTTCTTCACTATTGATTGAATGCCTACTCAATCAAAAGTCTTGATGCTAGAACCAACATTTTATAGCACTGAAAGAAAAAGTATTTAGATTCCAGCTCTGACTAAGTGTCAGAATCCCAGCATTTTGTCTTCCAGTGCCATGAAATATTGATTGCAGCATCAAAACTTCTGACTGGGTCGCTGGTGAAACCACGTAGCTCTTGACCTACACTCATTCTTCTGTGAAGTGAAGTTAAGCGAAATGAATAACATAGGTCTGTCTCTTTATCTATGGAGTTTCAAGAGATTGGTAAGTTACGCAATTATGCACTTTTAAAACTATTTTATGCAAGATACATCTGCTGTGAAACAATCTCATCATTAACATCTATACAAAATGAGATCAAATATACCTTAGCGGGAGTGTTTATGCATGGATCGGCATCAATAGTTCTGTCAATAGCACTGCTCAGGAATACTTAGTAGTTTACTCACAGAGTACTAATTTAATACTAATTTAGTGTTTCCGATGTTAAACATTTTTGAAATAAAACTTACTCTTTCGGATATTGTTGATTTAGTTGATTGAATTAGTGCTTTCACTTGAGAAGTTCGCTAAAAAACAGTCGGCGTTTTGATTGAGATTCATTCTAATCTCGCAGACGAAATAACTTTTTCATAATGAACCCTGAAGCTTAGTCTTCTACGGTGAATATAAAGGAAAATTTTTGCTCAATCAGAATCTTTGTCTTCGACTTTTGATGCCTTTTTGCGTGTCACACAATATCTTTATAGCAGCATTAACTAGAGAGACAAGAGTCAAACAACGTTGTATTGATTTAGGGTCCTTCAGGAAAAACCTTTTTTATCTTACATTCGATTTTGATGAAACTTTGCACAAAAACTTTGTTCCCTACCTAAAAGTGTGGTCACAAAATCTTTTTAGCTCTCTCTCTCTTACCATTCAGAGGTTTTCTGGAGTCCAAGATCAAAAGACCACCCTCCACTGCGGAACACTTTTTCTCCATATGTTTTTAGCTAAAGGTCTCGGGTTGATTTTATTTCAAAGTAGACAAATAGCCACATGGGCTAATGGGACCAGATTTTTAAATCAGGCCTTTGTTTGTTTTCTTGGGGTCCAACAACCCCAAAATCCAAGAAAACCCTTCCAAGTTTTCGAAAGATCGTTAATTTTCTAAGAAAATAAGGTCTACTGCGGCTCCCATCTACCCACGTAGAACTTTTTCTCTTTTGATTAAAAGAAATTTTGTTAAACTTATTATGTTATAGAACAAGAACTTGGTAGTTCCGGCCCTGTTTCACTGTATGAGTAAATAAAAGCAGGAGAAATCCAAATATTTCTTCTAACCGTCAAATATGTATGAACATTTTTGATCATGATTGGGCTCCAGTATTGACAACTGAAAAAGTTTTACTTTCAATATCGTCTGTTCTTGATACTCCTGATATGGAAGAATTTATCAATCTTGATGCTGCTGGATGTTTCCGACAACGTTGTGAGAAATATAATTCAATCGTTCGACAATATACATTAAAGTGTGCTATAAAGTCTTCAGTTTATGGTGACAACATTGTTTCAAAACTGT